GAGAAAGGCCTAGTCTTAACAACAAAGACATGTCTGTTGCAAGCTAAGCTGACGCGAAATCTGAGAACCTCACCGTTGTCGCCCAAGACCTGCTGCAAAGCTTGACATGAAGCAATTCCAAATAAATAAACAATAAACATCAGGGCTCATCACAAGACCAGTGCTCGAGGCTTAGAGATCTGCAATGCGCCGCTTTCATTCGTTCAGTTTGAGAAACACTGCAGGTCTGCACATATTGTCACAACAAAAATTCGTTAGCAAAACACTAAAAACCTTCAGGTCTTGATCGAATTCATTTGTAACGAACAAACATGTCTGATGCTTACATGTTATATATATATATATGTAATATATCTATATATATAATATATATATATTCTGATATATATATTAAGTTTTAACTAGTTAAAGTTAGACATATATTAAACGATTGTTGCCATGGCTAATCCTATCATCATGTCCGCAATCATAGCCGTACGGAAAAAACTAATGCTAAGACACATAAACAAAGATAAATAAATGATGAAGACTGTATCTGAATCACTGCGCCTGAAAATCGCCAGGGCCAACATCAACGTCACCGGCACGAAGAAAGCCTCGTCTTAACAACAAGACATGTCTGTTGCAAGCTAAGCTGACGCGAATCTGAGAACCTCACCGTTGTCGCCCAAGACCTGCTGCAAGCTTGACATGAATAATTCCAAATAAATAAACAATAAAACATCATGGCTCATCACAAGACAGTGCTCGAGGCTTAGACGATGCAATGCGCCGCTTCATTCGTTCAGTTTAAACACTGCAGGTCTGCACATATTGTCACAACAAAATTCGTTAGCAACACTAAAAATTCAGGTCTTGATCGAATTCATTTGTAACGAAAACATCTGCATGCTTACATGTATATATATATATATATGTAAATATATCTATATATATATATATATATTAAGTTTTAACTAGTTAAAGTTAGACATATATTAAACGATTGTTGCCATGGCTAATCCTATCATCATGTCCGCAATCATAGCCGTACGGAAAAAACTAATGCTAAGACACATAAACAAAGATAAATAAATGATGAAGACTGTATCTGAATCACTGCGCCTGAAAATCGCCAGGGCCAACATCAACGTCACCGGCACGAAGAAAGCCTCGTCTTAACAACAAGACATGTCTGTTGCAAGCTAAGCTGACGCGAATCTGAGAACCTCACCGTTGTCGCCCAAGACCTGCTGCAAGCTTGACATGAATAATTCCAAATAAATAAACAATAAAACATCATGGCTCATCACAAGACAGTGCTCGAGGCTTAGACGATGCAATGCGCCGCTTCATTCGTTCAGTTTAAACACTGCAGGTCTGGACATACTGTTATAAACAAATCGTTTATTACTAACGCTTCAGGTCTTGATCGAATTCATTTGCAGCAAAAACATCTGCATGCCTGCAACAACAAAATAAATTAAGCTTACTTGGCTTACCTTAGAAGTATGTTTTTTAAGAGACATGGTCGTCCAGCCAGTAGTCGAAAACCTAAACTGTAAAAGAACAAAAGCAATAGACATGCTTTCCGAAAGCTCACAAGAAAAATCTTTTACAACTGATCTGCCTCGTCTTCGATGAAGGGCAGAAAAAGATCATCGGGAGCACCTTGTCAAAAATTATTACATGTTCAGCTGAAAGAAAAATGACGCAACCCTCAGGTCCTCGCCACTGTCGATCCACACCTGCTGCAAGCTCATCATACATACAAAACAAAACTATGCATGTGTCGGTAGTTCGGATTGCAAGTAATCTGACAAGAACATCATTCAAAAACAAAAGAGAAATAGGCTCTCTATGAGGTTAACATGTAACCCAAGTATTTGCATGCTTGCAGTAAAAACGCCTAATCGCGAGCGACGACCTCATTCTCCATCAGCAGGTCGCTCCCCTACAGAAGATAAAGGACAATGCTGCACAACAGAATGTCAAACTTATATAAGAACAATCTGCCAGTATGCATCTGCATTAGGCTTTCCGGCTTCTGGAAGGTTGTCGAGGCCGGCTGGCACACCTCATACTAAAGACTGTCATGCTGAGATTCAATGCAACCGGTGTAGATCTCAGGTCGTGGCCATGTGCTTCGTAGGCCAGCCGCAATTCAGGTTTGAAAAAAAAACATGATTTTTTACCTAGATACAGCGCCGATAGCTCATACGATGGAAGGGAAAGTTATCAAGTAAAAAGCGAGGCACGTCTCGAAAAACACAACATATTAAATTGAAGAAATAATACAACCCCAGGACTAGGAATCAACTTGATGTTCAGAAGCAGCCTGGAGGTGGGCAACGCAGCGTCCACAATAGGAATGCCCACACGGCACAAGGGCGGTGAGCTCCTCTGTCACCTTTGCGAATTAGAAATCATCGGCAAATTCGACTCTAAGTGTATGTCTTCTATTACCATAGCCTCCCTCGAAACAGATCGGACACTCGTCACTGCCATGCGCATCGTACACCTTGACCTGACTAACATGAATGTCTGCGGCATTTACGAGAAAGAAACGGTTTAAAGAAGCAAAAGAATGAGACGCGTACGTACGTCCAGGCTTCCTCGCGGCACACGGGGCAGCGCATGACTGCACGCAAAACAAACGATGGAGACGGATCGCGAGTGCTCTGAGCAGCAACGGCTTGCGTAGGATTCCTGGAATCGCACACACAAGTGCATGCCGCCCTCCGAAACAAAGCCTTTTTGTTGAGACATACCTGTTTATATATTATATTTGAAGCTATCGAGAAAGCTCAGATGGAATGACGCGTGTTTAGACCTATTTCACCTATAACCCATAACCTATAACCTACATAACCTTTAGCCGAAAACCTTTAGCCTATATCCTATGACCTGCAACCTAGAGCCACCCTTGGACCCTCTAGCGCAGCGAAGATGGAGAGAAACCTGCGGTTCCTGCTTAACTTACTGTCGGTTCAAGGGGAATGAGGGAATTAGGTACCCTATGTAATCCCTTAAGGGTATATATAGGGGGATATAGGGTACCTCATTCCCTCACCTACAAACCAACAGTAAGCTAATCCCTCCTTTCGGGAGTTCATGGCTGTAGGGTTGAGGGTCTAGAGCAGAAGTCTCTACTTGGAGTTTCATAGAAGGCTCCGGGCCCTCATTAGACATCAACCAGCCAAAAACCAGCAATGATGGACAAACAATAGGCCAAACAAAAACCATACCAAACCACCCTTAAACCCTAGACTCTAGGCCCTAGACGCTTGGGATGTTCCCCCTTATACTGACAGCCCTTAAAATAGGGACTACCGTACGCCCTGTTATAATCCCTATTAAGGACTGTTAGTATAGGGGGAACATCCCAATCCTAGACTTTCAACTCGCAACCTGCAGCCCTAAACCCTAAACCCTAAACCCTAAACCCTAAACCCTAAACCCTAAACCCTAGACCCTAAACCCTAAACCCTAAACCTGCAAGGGGCCTCTGCAGCCGCCACCTGCGGTGCTCAAGGGCATCATGAACCCTGAGACCTTCACGTCCCGTCCACCTCCGAAAGCCCCGGAGCTCTCAGACCTTAAACCCTAAACCCTAAACCCTAAACCCTAAACCCTAAACCCGAAACCCAAGCCAGCTCCTCAACTTGGAAATCCCAGATCGCACACAAAACTGCGCAAACCCGACATCCCAAAAAAAACCTAAACCTAGCTTCCGCAGTGACCCTAAAGCCTGGACCCTAAACCCTAAAACCCTAAAACCCTAAAACCCTAAAACCCTAAAACCCTAAAACCCTAAAACCCTAAAACCCTAAAACCCTAAAACCCTAAAACCCTAAAACCCTAAAACCCTAAAACCCTCGAAGAACGTCAGATTCAGGGCATCTGGCCTTGGAAGCAAACCCTACTCCTTACAGTCAACCAAGGGTGTAGGGTTTAGGGTTTAGGGTTTAGGGTTTAGGGTTTAGGGTTTAGCGTTTAGGGTTTAGGGTTTAGGGTTTAGGGAGAACTCCAAAAAGTTGGACCATATCCCCAAACCCCAAAAGGCATACTAAAGGGAATCCCAGCTCTAATCATCCTTAAACCATGTTCCAACTTTCTGGAGTTTACTGTAAACTACATCTTAAAAATGTGGGGGGAAGAGATCTTGTAAGAAAAGACCCAACATGGGGTCCTCAGCCTGTACTTTGGCTGACCGGTTCCTTCTCAAGTTCGTATGGCATTGTGTTGATCTAGGATTGTAGCACCATATTGTTCTATAGTATTATATTGCTACTCTTTCTTAGAGTATTGCACTACGAAAGCACTGTTCTATTGTAGCGTCCGGACTCCAGTAGAACCTGCTGCGAGATCCACCAGAGCTTTCCAGCACCACCTAGACCCAAGAGTACTCTTGGAATCAAAACTACCAATGGCTTATGAACCCCCCCCCCCCTCCCAAAAAAAAATAAAAATATTCTTCCTTATAAGGGTAATCAGGGATTATTACTTTTATGTTTGGGGGGATCTTAAGCAAACAGTAGAAAAAGGGGTACCCTTTTGGGTGTAAGAGGGCTTGGAAGGGAACCTCAAACCCCAACAAAAGGGCACAAGACCCGAAACCCTAAACCCTAAACCCTAAACCCTAAACCCTAAACCCTAAACCCTAAACCCTAAACCCTAAACCCTAAACCCTAAAACCCTAAAACCCTAAACCCTAAACCCTAAACCCTAAACCTCAACGTAACCCTAAAACCTAAACCCGCCCGCCACCCCACTCTCTTGTCTTTTGGGGTAGGCGGGCGCTGGTCGAGCGCTCAGTGAGACCCTGCGAGGGAGCCCCAGGCGGGCGACCGAGCTGGCCTGAACGGAGTTTAAGGCAGAACTAACACTGCAGGTGCAATCACTTTTGACGGCTTGAGCCAATGTCGCATGTGTATGCTCACTCATTGTGAAACATGTTGTGTGACACCTACAAATCTAAACACCCCTCCTAAGCCAGGTGGTCATTTGACCCATTGGCTTCACACGAGCCGTTTGGCTGCTCCGGCTCGTCCAACATGAAAACGCAATCCCATGTTCTTGAGGTGTTTGAGCATTGCCACTTCGGGCATTGGTTTGGTGCAGATGTCGGAGTAGTTCTTCTCCGTGCCTACACGCTCTAGCTCCAGAGCTCGCGTGGCGACTTTCTCTTGCACCCACAAGTATCTTGTTTGCACGTGGCGTGCTTGACCCAGGCCCTGGCGCTGGGTAGTGCCTCGGGCCGCCGAGGAATCAGATCGAATCCGCAGACCGACCTTTAATCCCCAGTCTTCTAGCATCGCCTGTAGCGACAGACCTATTGACCCTGCTCGAACTATAGCGTAAAACTCGCTCTCTCCACTCGAGAGGGAGATCGTGCTTTGCACGTTGCTTGAGTGTTTCACGCAGTGTGATCCAAGCATTGTCACCAGTCCCGTGGTTGACCTCCGCGTGATGAGGCAACCAGCGTGGTCTGAGTCGCAGTACATCACAATCTCTTTGCTGAACCGTTGCGGGTGGTACTCGTAGATCAGCCGTGGATTTCCGCGTAAGTAGCGGACAAGCCTCTTCAGATCGGCCCATGCCCACTCTGTGGGTTCTTTCATATGCCGCGCTAAGCTCTTCGTAGCCTCGGCAATGTCTGGACGGTCCTGCGCAAGGAACGCTGCCCTCATCGTATGAGACCGATATGCTTTCTGAAGTTCGGCATTCAACGGCTGTGCTTCAAGCATCGCTTTCAGGTCACTTCCCTTTTTCTTTTCTGCTGGCGTTTTGGCCGCCTTCGCAGACTCCAGTCCAAGGTCGCGCACTAGGGCTTCCGCGTGCCTTGGATCCGCTTCGTACGTAACAGTTCCTGTCTGGCTGTCATAGCTCACGACCCGGTTCAGGACAGTCATGCTATCCTTTTCACACTCAGGTCCTATGTGGCCATCACACTTGAACTCGTACTCTTCAGACAGTACTTTGTCTACAAAGCGATGTCCATCTTCGTCTGCCAAGACTAGGAAATCGTCCCCATGCACCAATAATCTCACGTCGGCTTCGGCATGATAAAAGGTACACGGATATGCTTTTCCCACGACAAACCCGTGCTTGCGTAACAGGCTTGTGTACGATCTCTGCCATACAGCTGAGGCATCACGGGTGCCATACATGGTCCGTTTCAACAGACCACAAAAGCCGGGAGCTTCATCTCCCTCGGGAAGTGTGACAAACACACGTCGTTCTGCTTTTCCATAGAAGTGTGCACGTGATATGTCTGTCAGCTTCAGCGTGAGCTTCTTTCCGCTCTTTGACCTCTTGAGTGTCGTCAGCAGACTGCATAGGATCTTCAATCCTTCCAGAGGTGGCATTGAGGAAAACAGCGTAGTCTGGTATCAACGCCGCTTGTCCCTGTGACTTGACCTCGCGGACTACCAAACGACTGCGGTAGTTTTCCCGAACATCATCCCCTTTGTTGCGGTCTACCCACTTCAAGGTTATGGGCGGACGACCTGTTTCGTCCCAACACACGCTCTCTTCGACTTTCTCGTACACACCTTGCTTTTTCACCCAGGCAAGTTCTGACGCTCTTGCTTCCGCAACCTTTTTGGCATCAAGTTGTGCCCCTGTGTTTGCGTCTATGACGGGCTCGCTTACGTGAAGCTGCCCAGCCTTGGGTAAGGTATCATGGAGATACTCTTCGAGCGGTGGCTCCTCGTGTGGGTCAGGTCCACCCACATGGCCCACCTCCTTCATTTCTCCATCCAGAACCAGTTGTGCTCGCACTCCTGCCAGTAGTGCTCTTTCAAGCTTCGGAGGATACTCGGCCTTGGCCGTCACGATCCCCTCCTTGAAGCTTAGCGTTCGGTTCCACACCTTCGCATTGCCCTTGCATAGCTTTTCCAGCGCTGTTGCAACCGTCGCCGAATTAGTAATCCAGCGGGTTCGCTTCTTGCCGGATTGGCCTGCAATCATTTTTCCACTTTCGTCAACTTTCCACTTGCACATTGGGCCTTCAACCAAGTACGAACCCATCCTTTGAGCAAGTTCATGCTCCCAGGACTTAGTTCCCCTTGGGCACTCATAGAGGAAGTAGTTTCCGGCTTCCTTCTGTGCCTCGAAGGCCTCAAAGCAAAGCCCCAGTTGAGATCGGGCCTTCCTCAAATTTCCGCGTCTGGTCTCGACTCCAATCTTGTTGGTCATGTCGAAAGCACGTTGTACTGACTGGAAGGGTCCAGTGGGCAGCTTGCCCACCAGAAGCTTTGGCTTCACTTGTTCCAGCTTTTCGAAGAAACGCAAATGCTCGGCCTGAGCGAACATCGGCGGCTCTTGGTCCATTGGCAAGATAATGCCTTCATTCACCATGCTCCAGGGCACAGCTGAATTGCCATTACCTCCCAACTGTAGAACCATAGAGTTTATGGCCTTCGCTTCGGTCGGGCTGCACTTGAGCCCCTTTTGTTCGAACATCCGCGTAATCAGGTTCATTCGCACTTCCTCGTTGGCTGGCGGCGGATTCGCCGTTGCTGTGTCGTACATTTCTGCATCTGCTCGTGCTTGTTGGCGTGAGTGGTCCAGGCCGGGTCCTGCAGAGCCACTTGCTCCCCCTTGCACGTGTACTCCAATGACCTCGACATCTGGACCATCGGTAGCCCTCGTGCTGGGCTCTTCCCGGTAAAGGTCCTCGACGTCCTTGGACGCTGCGCGCTTCCGCTGTTTCGGCTCGGCGCGGTCCTCGACCTCCATTGGTCTGGACAAAGGTGCGCCTGCCGCTTCCTCTGCTGCAACATCCATTGCGTCGGGGGCAGGTCTTCCTTCCAGCGCGGGTTGGTCTCTTTTGACCCGCTTTCCGTAGTCCTTTTCAACTCGCTCTTGGGCCCTTTTCACTCTTTCTTTTCCCTCGTCGGTTTCTTGCAGTCTTCTCTGCACTCTCATCCTGCACTCGTCATTGTGCGCTCGCTGCGGGAGACCCATCAGCTGCGCATCGCATCCCGGACACTGAGGCGTGTAGCCGTACAGCTCAATGTCGGACTTCATGACGTACAGGTTGCGTGCCTTGAAGTCTCGGTGTTGTGGCGCGGGTTGTTCGCCTTCGAGAGCGGGCATACCGACTCGGTTGGGCGACGCTCGCTCTTGTGGACCGGACATCCTCCAAGGCAATCCGCGTAGCACTTCGAAACCTTCAACAGGCCATTTCTCATCCTCGGGCCTCCTGTGCAAGGAGTGGCCCCGGGATATACCCTCGGACGTCATGATCAGCAAGTCTGCGTTCCTCGACGCAGTTCCGACGTAACGTCCCATGCAAACTCTTGCATCTAGGCTTCCTCGCTTGTGTCTCGAACCAACTGGCTTGAACATCACCTGTTCGCCAAAGACAATGGTAGGTCGCCTCCACGGTCGGCCCAGCGTCCTTTCGTAAGCTGACTTCCCGTCTTCGCCAATGCGAAAACGTGTCATCAAGAACGCTGCATGCCTCGCGATCCAGGCGAGAATCGGGTGGTCCACGCCCACCTCGATCTTAAGCTTTGTCTCCAGCTCCGACAGGATAGCTCGGACCATTCGCTTCACCTCTCTCACTGCGGCCTCGGCTATGCCGTTCGATGGCGCATTCTCGTGTTCCGTACTTGTAGGACTCTCTCTCAAGTCGAACACTACATTTTGGACTTCTTCGGAGGCCTTGAGTTTGAGCGCACGGAGGGCGTGTTCATTATCTGAGAATAAACACATCCTCTTCCATCCGGCCTCGCGTATCACGCTGGCCAACCACGTGACGTTGTACGCATGCGTGCCTTTCTCGGGCAACGAAGTTGCCCAAGTGCGCTGCGTTTTGTCGCACCGAACCACCAGGTGCGGCATCACGTCGTCTTCCTGCTTTTCTTTGCCCAGGAAGAAGTAGTCCATGTGTAGCGTCGGCAAAGATGTCTCAAGTTCGGCTCTCCGAATCCGGTAATGTGGATTCACCATCTTTCGCGCTCTCTGGCAGTGGACGCACCAGGAACGGTGCACCGCGTGCCCCGAGGCTTCGTGCTGTGCGATCTGGTCAGCCGTTGGCTGGTCTGGGCTCTTCGGCACTATCGCCCTCTGTTGTTCTTCGCCTGGAGCCTCCGGCTCCTCGGCAAAGCGGTCGTCTTCAGTGCCTCCTTTTTCCTCGCTTGGCTGCTGCTGCTGTTGTTGCTGTTGTGCTGCTGCTGGCACTTGTATGCTTGCGCTTGCTCCTTGTTGTGTCGTTTTCCTCTCTTTCTTCTCTCGCTCTCTCTCTCTTTCTTCTTGTCTTCCTTGGCTAACACCTTGAGCGTTGCCTTTCCGGCGGCTTTCCTTTTTGCCGCTTCCTCAACCATCTCAGCCTCTTCGTCTAGGGGTGAAACGCTAAGCCCGTTGGGCCTTACACCGTCTACGGACGCCCCGTGAAACCCAGGCCGTCTTGGCCCTTGCTTCCGCCCTTCACTCCTTTCTTCTCGTCTTGCAGAGGAAACACGTAGATGCCGTTCTTCACTTGCATCTTGGTTCCGACACCCTTGTGCTTCCAAGCCAACTGGCGCAACGCCTCGTCGGCCTCCTTAGCGAAAGCAGTTCCTTTTGGGACCAGCAAGCCTCCTGTTCCGTGCAGAAACGCAAAATGCGTCTTGCACGCCTGTGCTCCTGACAGGAGTATGCGGTGGACCCCGGCGCCTCGGCCGGTGATCGTGGCCCCACGGCCTCCCGACAAAGTGCCGGTGACCTCGGCTTTTCCTTGGTCTTTCAGCGCCTCACCTGACGCCGTCTTGTAGCGGACGCCGTTGTCCTTTGGCTGCGTCACGTACTTCTCAGGCAGAACGGTCACGGCCGCTCCCGTGTCAAAGTTGACCTCGACGCTAGCCACGCCTGGCGAAGCGCCCAGGCTGGCAGCATCCACGGTCTCGAAGCTGTGCACCGATTGGCGCACGCCTCCTTCGCCCGGGTCCTCCGGGTCTTCTCCTCTTGGGTCGCGGCGGTCGTTGTAGTCTTCACAGTGCACAGTCTCTTCGTCGTCGTCTTCGCTTTTCTTGACCTTCTTCTTTCCTCTGTGCTCTGGATCCCAGGTCGACCCAAGCTTCCTCTTCAGCTTGTTGCGCCTTTGGTTTCTCTTTTGGTTCCTCTTCTTCTTCTGCTCGGCCGCAATCGACGGGTCCGCCGAGTAGCGCCCGGTCGCCTTCGGCCTTTCCTGCTTTTCGAGCTCCTTCCGGTAGAGCTCCTCCTCGTCGTCGGCATCCACGCGGTGGCTCGTCCTTTCGGCTTTCGTGAGGGGGCGGTAGTCCTTTCGCCGCTCGGGCTTGGCCTCCGTCCCATCGCTGTGGATAACCTCCGTGTCGATGCCGTCGACCTCTTCCTTCTGGTTATCGCGGAAGTCGCCCTTTTTCACTTTCACGTCGTGCCGGGCGTGCCACTTCTTGTCGGCCTCGATCCTCTCCTTTGCTCTTTCGCCCACACCGCTGCGTCTGTGCTCTTGCGCTCTCCTTCGTCCCTTTTCCGCACGCCAAGCCTTCCAGTGGCTGTCTCCCTTTTCCACTTGGCGTTTGTAGCGCACGTCGTGCACCGACTGGTCTCTGCGGTGTTCGGGTTCCTTTTTCTTCACGCCCGCTTGCTGCGCCCTGAGGCGCTCACGCTCCTCTTTCAGGCGCTTCCGCTCGTCTTCCAGGCTCGCGATCTCGGCTTCCAGCTCTGGGTCACTGCCGCGTCCCTCGAGCTTCTCTCTCTTTGTCGCGATCCTCTGGTCCAAGACCGCGAGGTTCGCACGGTTGGTCTCCATAAGACCCGACGCTAGCATCCTCTGCATGCTGCTCGAGGTGCTTGCCGTGATCGCGGTTGCTCCTTCGGTTCCTTCTTCCTGCTTTGGTGGCTTCTTCTTTTCTTCCTTCTTGGGTTCCTCGGGCCCCTCGCTTGGAGGGTCATCCTCGAAGTCGCTTTCGTCCTCGGAGCTCTCCGGCTCCAAGGAAAACTTGTCTTCTTCTTCTTCTTCACCAGCGGCTTCTTCCTCCCTTTGCTTCACCTTCTCGGCTACCTTTGCGCTCCTCAGTTCAGCCTTGCTGGGCCTGTCGGCCCTCACAAGCTTTTCTCTTTCGAAAACTTTCCTGGCGTAGTGGGAGCCCGCTGCTTTTGCAGCTGCTGCCTTGTACTCTTTCATCCTCTTCTTCAGCAGAAGGGACGCTTTGCTCCTGAACTTTAGTCGCCTCGACACGCAGGTGGAGCAGGCCTCGCCTTGCTTCTTCAGTAAGGACTCCCCGACGGAGCCTCTGGGCTTCTTGTCTCGTATGGCATCTTGGTGGGCCACACGTTCCCTGAAGCGCATTCCTGCCCAAGACGCCGGACTCCTTAGAAGCTTTGGCTTTGCCTTCGCCACAGGTCTTTGGCTCCTTGAGGCTCCCCACTTCGGCGCTGTGGTAGCAAGTTGTCTCTCCACCTCTTCGCTTCTTGGCTGCACTTCTTCACTTCTAGGTGGAGGCTTCGAAGGTGGTGACTTTGGTTCTGTTCTCTTCGGCTCTGCCTTTGGCTTCGAAGGTGGTGACTTTGGCTCTGTTCTCTTTGGCTCTACCTTCGGCTTGAGAAGCGGACTTTTGGTCCTGGAAGGCGGTGGTGACTTCGGCGGTGTTCTCGGCCTTTCTTGCTTCGCCTTTGGAGGGGTCTTGGGCTCATGCACTGGTGGCTCCCGGTAGCGCGAAACGTTCCAGGGTGCCGTGTCCAAAGCCTTAGACCTCACCTCCTTCTTCTCCTCTTTCTTTCCGGCCTTTGGCTCGCGCACTCTCTCCGGAGGTCCTCGCGACGAAGACGAAAACGCTCCGAAGCTGGACTGCCCTGGCACCTCGCCGCGGGAACGTCTCCTGGCTTCTGCCAGCTCTTCCGCTTCCTGAAGAAGTCTTTCCTGGCGACGTCTCCTCGCAAGTTCCACCTTTTCCTTCAGGTCTTGGAACTGACCCCTTGCTCTGTCCATTTGCTCTTCCAGAGCTTCCAGCTCCTTTTCATCCTCGTCTTTTTCCTCCTTTGAAGAAACGGCGCCATGGCCCCAAGCACGGTCGGGCCGGAGCCCTCTTCCCTACTTGAGCCACGACTGCCGGGGTCTGGCTTCGACTCTTTCTTCTTCTTCTCTTTCTCTCTCTTCGGGCTCTCTCTTTCTAACGCTCCCACGTAGAGGTTGTTTGTTTCTGCTTCCTCCCAACCGTCCTCCCAGGTTTCTCCCCAGTCTCCGTCTTCCCAGCCTTCATCCTCTTCTCCTTCCTGCCAGTTCTCGTCCTGGTTTCCTTCTCCTGTGTTCTCTCCTCCTTCTTCTATGTTTCCTACGTGTTTCTTGTTCTTGCCACCTTTCTTGCCTTTTCCCTTTTTGCCTTTTCCTTTCTTACCTTTTCCTTTGTCCTTTCCTCCTTTGGGGCTCCCTCTTCCTCCTTTGCTGCTTGGTTTTCCTCCTTGTTGCCCTGGACCTTTGGGTGAGCCCCGTTGCTGCTGCGAACCTTTGCCTCCATTGCTCCAGCAGTCGCGGGCATAGTGTCCGCTCCTGCCGCAGTTGTGGCACACGACCTTGCTTGCTCCTTTTCCTTTGCCTCTCTCCACATACGACAGGTCCATAGGATCATCCTTGCTCGCCGCACTGGCTGCGGCTGCAGAAATCACCTTCAGACTCTTTCCTGTCTTGTACTCGATGAAGCGAGTCACCTCGTCGAGCACGTCGTCGTACGTGGAGAACCGGCTCTGGTTCAACTGGATGTGAGACTCCAGCTCCTGTGGCAACATTGCCTCCAGTGCTGCCATCTTTATCTCATCAGCCAGGGTCGTTCGTCGCCCTGTGCTGTCCTTGCGCTTCTCGTAAGTGCGCACAGCGTCGGCCCATTCTTCGATGGCCTGAGGGAGATTCTCCAGCTTCTGCTTCTGGGGCGATATAATCGCTCTCAACATCGTGCGCTTCCTGCTTGCAGTCGCAGGATCGTATCGCCTCGTAAGGCGTCTCCATGCCTCGAACCCGTTGTTCTGGCAATTGCACACGATCGTAAATGGTTCCTTCGAGGTAACCATTTGGAGCGCGTTCGCGAGCTCCCTCGACTTTTCTTGCAGTCTGGGAACTCGATCCGCCTCCAACGCCTTTTCTCCAAAGGCTGTGTCCAACTCCTCCGAGGAGAATGGCTTCTCCCTCTCTTCGAGCCACTCTAGAACTTCTTGCAGATCATGGTGGATCGAACAAACGTAGCTCGACATTCGATGCCTCCATGGTTGGAACTGTTCACTCTCACCTGAGAAGGTCGTCGGCTTTCCCAGGCCCTTTGTGTCGACCAAACAGAGCTTCTCGTTTGGTCCTCCTTTCTTTGCCATGGCCTCAACCAGTTCCTTGTTCGACTTGACCATGTCGCTCACCAACTGTGGCATCGTGCCCATCTGAGCCGTCGCCTGCTGCACTGCCGTATGCGCTTGTGCTCGCACTTCCGCAACTTGAGCTGCACTCTCTTGCCGCACTCGCTCAAGTGCTGTGCTTTGCTCGGCCCTTAGCCGATCATTCTCTTCGCGTTGCCTTGTGAGTTCGTTTCTCAGATTCACAAGCTCCTGCATCACTTGCGCTGCAGTCACTTGTGCCTGTTGCTGTTCCTGGCTGCTCATCGCAAACGATTAGCCAGCCGACGGCGGAACTCGCTGCTTTGGACGAAAGTCTGGAGATGCTGGCCCAGGAGGCCCCAAATCCTTTGCAGTCGCCTAATCCGATAGAGTAAACGGATCAAGCGTTCCCAGCGGTGCACAGCGGGATCTTGCACCACAGCAAAACCTTCGTTGTCACTTTCAGCACTTTCGTCAGCAAGGTCGCGTCTGCTGTCCATTCAAACCGACAGCTCCGCTACCATGAACGGAGTTTAAGGCAGAACTAACACTGCAGGTGCAATCACTTTTGACGGCTTGAGCCAATGTCGCATGTGTATGCTCACTCATTGTGAAACATGTTGTGTGACACCTACAAATCTAAACATGGCCTCCAGGCTGGCTTACCCTCCAGGCAGGCACAGGCCGAGTCAGCAGTTGTCACTGTTTTGTAAACCCCAAGCTGTCCGCGCACATGGTTGGGTCCTGCACTGGAGGGCCCCCTGGGACGGCCCTTGAGATCTCTGGTCCATCACCCCCGTCCGCTGGGCTGAGGGGACCAGGGGCCGTTTTGTTGGGGCAGGCAGGGCTTGGCCAAGAAGGCCAATCTGGTTTTTGCCCTGCCCTGACCCTGGCCCTGCCTGGCCCTGGCCCTGGCCCCTGGCCCTGGCCCCTGGCCCTGGCCCTGGCCCTCACCCTAGCCCTGGCCTTGGCCCTGGCGGCCCGGCCCTGGCCCTGGCCCTGGCCCTGGCCCTGGCCTGGCCCTGGCCCTGGCCCTGGCCCTGGCCCTGGCCCTGGCCCTGGCCCTGGCCCTGGCCCTGGCCCTGGCCCTGGCCTGACCCTGACCTGGCCCTTGGCATTGGCATTCCTGACCCCTGCCCTCTGGCCTGGCCCTGGCCCTGGCCAGGCCCTGGCGCTGGCCCTGGCCCTGGGTTGGTCCTGTCGCCCTGCCCTGGCCCTGGCCCTCCCTGACCCTGACCCTGGCCCTGACCCTCTGCCCGACTAGTTTTGCGGCCCTGGCCCTGGCTGTCCGCGCACCAGTTTGTGTGCCCTCCCTCTGGCTTTAGCCCCTTCGCGCCTACCCAATCTGTCCTGCCTCGCTTCCGTTTGCTGCAACTTTGTGCCTGGTCCTGACCCTGGTTCGGCACCCCACCTTACCCCGTTCGCGCCAAGCCAAGCTACCAGCCCTGTTTTCTTTTTTGGTTAACCCAAGCCTCGCTGCCTTTCTCTGTTCCTGGCCCATCCCTTAGCCCCTTCGCGCCACCCCAAGCTGTCTTCACGGACCCTGCCTCGTTTCCGTCTGCTGCAGCTTTGCGCCTGGTCCACGCACCTTGTGGAAATCCCCAAAAAGGGTGTGAGTGCTGACTCATGTGATGCTTTGTAAAAAAATAAAAGGTCTTAACTCCTTGAGAGTTGTAAGTGGGCGGTCTTGGGGTGGGTAGGTCTGCAGACTACCGCGCGCTCCCAAAGCGCGCTCCCGTCTGGCACGCCCTAAACCCTAAACCCTACTCTGAAGTTTCCCCGACCCACCGACCGGTGGTCCCAAGCGCCCGTCGTTTCGAGTAATGCAATGGACGCTCTTGATGTGTTGCACGGCGCCGCTGTCGAAACTCCCTAAACCCTAAACCCTAAACCCTAAACCCTAAACCCTAAACCCTTTTTGGCAGCCTTGAGTTTTAGAGGCCTTAGGATTGGGCTTATAGGGCCCAGAATTTAAAACCGCACTGCTGGAAGGTTCAGGCGTGAAACAGAACCCTAACATGAGGCCCCCCTAGCCCACAAGCCCGAAAGCTCTAAACCACATGCGGAGCCTGTTGGGAACCCTGAAAACCCCAGATCTAGGGTTTAGGGTTTAGTTTTTAGGGTTTAGGGTTTAGGGTTTAGGGTTTAGGGTTTAGGGAACCCGAAAAATTTCCCAGGTCTCTTGGGCCCACCTCCGCCTTGTACGCAGCCAGCCGCTCCTGGGTAACGGATGCAATCTTCCGGGCTTCGAGTTGCCGCTGAGGGTTGGACCCCCTCAAGCCCCTAATAGGGTTTAGGGTTTAGGGTTTAGGGTTTAGGGATTAGGGTTTAGGGTTTAGGGTTTAGGGTTTAGGGACCTTAAACTCTGAACCAAGCAACCTGCACTCAACCCGGAGTGTTTCCAGGGAGGTGACGACTGGTATGCACAAACAGCCAACTGAAGAACGTTTAGGGTTTCGGGTTTAGGGTTTAGGGTTTAGGGTTTAGGGTGAGAATGAGAAAGAACACGTGGTAAACGCCACAAATGATGCGAATGAGGAGAACAACCATGCTGAATGACCGAATGGTGAAATCAGGATGTGCTTGATGGTTGTTTAATAATACATAAAAGGCCCACACATCGCAAATATGTAATCAGTAGTACTGAGTCGTTCATTAGTCATTATGAGTAGTTAGTCATTAGCATCCAGTGAGAATAATTCAGACTTATGTGTAAGCTAAAACTCGTCAGTACTAAGCAATAGTTAAGAAATACAAACTAGCAGTTAACGCTTTACAGCTAACAACTCAAAGTTATACTTAATCGTGAACAGATATGTCTTGGCTATTCACAGACAACAACTAAAAACACTGATCATGTACCCTGAGTGAGTAATAACTGATAACTAATCAGCAACAGTAAACCAAAATTTATAAGTAAAACAAAGTACAGTGACTGCACTGGTTCAGCAATCGTTGGTTTAAGAAACGAGCATGCTCACGGCTGGACCCCGGATAAAAAATGCGAAAATTGGGAGCTAGACTAAATCTTAATCCCTGTTCCCCTAGGAAGAAAAAAGGATCCTTTTTGCTTATATATAAGAAAGCCCATAACCCAAAAAGCAAAAAGGATCCCTAACACTGATTTAGAAATTCAGAAATCGAGGGTACCCCCTCGTCCTTGGGTCCTAAATTTCTGAAATTTGGTTGCTTCTTACAACCGCCCCTCAGATTTCTAGAAATAAAACAATCTGAGAAAGGTAATCAACTCAAGCTATGAGGATAGAACTGGCCCGTTTCTGGGGGTATCGCTTTTGGGGTTAGGTACCCTAAACCCTAAACCCTAAGCCCTAAACCCTAAACTCGCTTTCACAACAAACTTGCAAATGTCCCGCCCAAGGCGACCTAGAGAGGCGCGGGATTTAGCCAGTCCCTCATATTAGGGCTTTAGGGTTTAGGGTTTAGGGTTTAGGGTTTAGGGTTTAGGGTTTAGGGTTTAGGGTTTAGGGTTTAGGGTTTAGGGTTTAGGGTTTAGGGTTAGGGTTTAGGATTTAAATTGCCAATTGAGGGTTCAGGGCTTAGGGCTGCTCGGGAATTTGTGGCTTGGGTTTAGGATTTAGAGTTCCGGGTTTAGGGTTTAGGGTTTAGGGTTTAGGGTTTAGGGTTTAGGGTTTAGGGTTTAGGGTTTAGGGTTTAGGGTTTAGGGTTTTGGGCGTTCTTTGTCCGCTCATTCTGAGCCCAGCGGCCTGGTAGTCGCGATCAACAGCTTCGAAGTCAAAGGTGTTCTTGGCCGCCAGGTCGTGCTTGCACTTCCTCGGGTGGGGGGTGTACCCAAAGCCTAAAACCCTAAACCCTAAACCCTAACCCCAACCCCAAACCCCAAACCCCAAACCCTAAACCCCAAAGGGCGTAGGGTTAACGGAGGCATGCGCCTCAACAACCCGACTCGGAGTTGCGAACAGGTGGTCTTGGGTGGATGGGTCTGCAGACTGACGCTCGCTCACAAAAGGCGTACTTCCGTTTAGGGTTCAGGGTTTAGGGTCTAGGGTCTAGGGTTTAGGGCTAGGGTTTAGGGTTCAGGGCTTAGGGTTTAGGGTCTAGGTTTTCCGGTAAATTGCCCTGAACCTGCCAAGGATCAGGATCACGGTCAGGTCGGGAATCCGCTGTGCCTGCACACCCAGGTCGCGAATGCGCTTGCAAGCTTCAGGGCGTTGGCTTTAAAAACACCCGAAACTTGAACCCTAAACCCTAAACCCTAAACCCTAAACTTGAACCCTAAAACCTAAACCCGAAACCCCACAGATGTCCCAAATCCCCGTTGCATCCCTGAATGCGTACTGTCAACCCCCTGACCCTAATTAAGTGAGGCTTGAGGGTTTAGGCTTCATTGATGTCTACGGATCTCAGAAGGGCGTTTACGGCTTAGGGTTTAGGATTGGAGTCGCGAAGGATTTCCGGCATCCGCCTTGGTCAGTAGGTTCTGAAGAGATCGTGCCGTCCTCACTTCGTCCGACATCTCCTGACTGCATGTTCTACAGGGTTTAGGGTTACCTAGAGCTGCATGTTCCAAAGGTTTCGGGTTTGAGGTCTGGGTGTTAAGCGTTCCGGGTCAACAGGCCTAAACCCTAAACCCTAAACCCTAAACCCTAAGCCCAAAACCCTAGGTCACGGAGGGCCAGGGTCTAGGGTGAACATGTTGAATATTTCGGGTTTCTCAGAATCGACATGCATCCAACCTAACAGCCTGGAGAGACTGTAGCATGCCTAGGCGCCTCTTTTGCAGGCTTATTGAGTGGGTAGTAGGTTTTGGGAGCCTAGAAAAATATAGACTCTCTGACGGCTTTACGCAGATTATAAATATAGGGCTTTGTAAGGGGGGATTAATGGAAATTAGAAATTCTGTTCAAACCTACTAAAAGGATCACAGTGAGGTCCCTGTAGACATCGCTGCTCTTGTGAGAAAAGGATCCTAATGGGAACCCCAAACAGGGGGAACCCCAAAAAGGGGGAACCCCAAGAGTAGCGTTAGGAATGTGAAGGGCCCTGCGCTGCTAGGTACATTCCTTTAGGGTTTCGGGTTTAGGGTTTAGGGTTTAGGGTTTAGGGTTTAGGGTTTAGGGTTTAGGGCTACTATATCCCGACGATCTTCTTGGAGCACAAGAGCGACAACCGTCATCGAAGCAAGGACATTGCCCTGCTGGTGCCATGGAGTGCACGACCCACCCTAAACCCTAAACCCTAAACCCTAAACCCCAAACCCTAAACCCTAAACCCTAAACCCTAAACCCAGGATGCCAGGACTCTTCTGGTCCCTGTGGTTGGATGCTCTCGGTTGAGTAAGGGTCATCAGTGGAGGGCGACAACAGTTCGCGACGGGCATGCGCGCACGCCAAAGTCGCGGGCACCGCTGGGAATGCCGCGAAACGGCTCGTCTGCTCCCAGGGGGCTCAGTTAGGGTAACTTAGTATCCCTAAACCCTGAACCCTAGACCCTAAACTCCTAAACCCTAAACCCCTAAACCCTAGACCCTAAACCCCTAAACCCTAAACCCCTGACGCCTAAACCCACCTCAAGCCCGCGGCTTGGGAATCGCAACCCCCCGACTTCTGGGGCCTCAACCTTGGGGGCGAAATAACCCTGAACCCGCTGGTTCTTTCGTAGGGTTTTTTCGTAGGGAGTGAAGGAAGTAGGGCCCTACATATACCCTTTAAAGAGGGTACCTCAACTAGCCTCGAGCTCTTTTGGGGCCTTGGGAAACTCCGAATGATATGCTGTTGAATTTGACAGAGGTTTTAGGTGACTTGGACTTTCGGCTTCCCTTTGGACCTATTTACTTGTTTAGAAAAAAGCTTTGGGCAGTCACATTGATATCACGGAAAACTTCAGGCTTTACTGTTCACGAAGCCCTTTTCAAAGTCGATGGATCAAGGGCTCTTTACGGTTGAGGTCGCCAAGAGCTCGGGCCTCTTGCTCGAGGTCCCCAAACCAAGTGCCGTCAACGATGCAGGCGCCACCTCAGCAACTTCAGCAAGGGAATGGTCCAAAGACCGAGTTGCTGCCCGGGATGTTACATCAAGCTAGTAGAATAAGAAAGCTTTTGGTATTTGGGTAGTTCTCCAATTCGGTTTGTTCGAGATTTGGGGGCTGGCGACAGGTGTGGGATCATGGTATGCTTCGCGGGTATATTTCGGGGTATGTTTCGGGGCGGGGGGAGGGGGTGTGTTGCGGGAATGTTTCGCGGCATCATGAGCTACTTTACCTGCAATTTCGGGGGTATGTTACGGGGTATCGGGGAATGTTTCGGGGTATGTTCGCGGGTGTGCAGCCCGTGTGCCCTTCTTAAACCAACCTGAGCCCCCAAAAAAACGAACAAACCCAATTAAGGTCCTCTTTGGGATCCCTTTTTTAAAGGCTAGCCCTAAACCCTAAACCCTGAACCCTAAACCCTAAACCCTAAACAGTTCCCGTCTTATAAGGGGTACGCATACAGGGACCCTGGTTAGGAAAACTATTCATTGACTGCGCATCCATGTTCCTAAGGGAGGGCTGGGAGTGCTAGGGTTTAGGGTTTAGGGTTTAGGGTTTAGGGTTTGGGGTTTAGGGTTTGGGGTTTAGGGTTTAGGGTTTAGGGCTTAGGGTTTAGGGCTTAGGGTTTAGGGTTTAGGGTAGGGGCTTGGCTTCTTGGGAAGATCTGTGGTCCTCATACCTCGCGAAATATGTACACAGCGATTGAAAGCAGTTTCAAAATGCCCATACGGCTAGGGCTCTGCATGTATGTACAAGATGTCTGAAGCTACTCTGTAGGTAGCCTTGGTCAATGGAACCTTCTAACCTCCCAAACTTTCAAACCACCGCTCTGAACTCCCCAAGCCCTCGACCCTTAACCCTAAACCCTCAACCCTGAACCCTAAACCCTAAACCCTAAACCCCAAACCCGCTGCAAACCGGCCGCAGTGAGGTCCAAAGGCATCCTTCATCGCCTGGACGAACAGCTCCTCGGGAAACTTGCTGGTTGGTTTGTAGGGAAGGAGGGAATGAGGTACCCTAAAGCCCCCTATATATATATATATATATATACCCTTTAAGGGTTTTGGGTTTAGGGTTTAGGGTTTAGGGTTTAGGGTTTAAGGTTTAGGGTTTAGGGTTTAGGGTTTAGGGTTTAGGGTTTAGGGTTTAGGGTTTAGGGTTTAGGGTTTAGGGTTTAGCGTTTAGCGTTTAGAGTTTTGGGTTTAGGGTATGTATAGGGGGATAATATAGGGTACCTCATTCCCTCATTCCCTACTAACCAACAACAAGGAAGTTGCCGGTGAAGGCTGAGACTGCAGGTTTGGGGTGTGGGGCGGAGGGTCTAGGGTCTACGGTTCAGGGTTTAGGGTCTAGGGTTTAGGGTGGTGTAGGGTCTTGGCTCAACATCGAATTCTAGGGCTTCCCCAAAAAAAGGGGGTCGGGCGTGGCAGATTGCCCGCCATATCCAAAAGGCTAAATAAAAGCCCTGAATCCCTTAAAGCCCGCCACCCCTGAACCCTAAACCCCGAAACCCTAAACCCCACAAGCGCACAAGCCTTCAACGCAACCATCCTAAAGCTGGAGGCTCCAGTCCGCAGCCCTAAGCTTAGGGTTCAGGACTTAGGGTGCAGGGTGTAGGGTGTAGGGTGTAGGGTGTAGGGTTTAGGGTTTAGGGTTTAGGGTTTAGGGTTTAGGGTTTAGGGTTTAGGGTTTAGGGTTTAGGACTTAGGGTTTAGGACTTAGGGTGTAGGGCGTAGGGTTTAGGGTTTAGGGCTCCCAAGAACAAACAGAGCTCTTAACCTGAAGAGCATCGGCCAATGCACCCCACACCCTCATTCCGACCCTGACACCCCGAATCTCAAGTGCCTCTTAGGGTTTAGGGTTTAGGGTTTAGGGTTTAGGGTTTAGGGTTTGGGGTTTAGGGTTTAGGGTTTAGGGTTTGGGGTTTGGGGTTTGGGGTCCAAACCCGCAATGGGCAGTCGCAGGTGGGTGGTGGGTCTGTACTCTTCAAAGGGAAGCAACCAGCTGCCACGTTCCTAAGCCCTAATGCCCTCTAAACCCTAAACCCATAAGCCCTAGACCCAGAAAGCCTAAACCCATAAGCCCTAGACCACCCTAAATCCCTCAACCCAGAAGCCCAGGACTGCCACTGCAACCCCAAACCCCCCACCCATCCCTCCTCGCGCTGCTCATCGTCGAGGCCGTCGTCCTCAGGCTCCTGGAGGAATCGACTCTAAGAGCGGAAAATGCTGGGGGGGGGGGGGGGGCTTAGGGTTAAGGGTTTAGGGGTGTATGAACACTAAGCTCTGCTGACCATCTTTCGGGGGATATGAATGGGTCAGGCTGCCAAGGTGAGAAGCATGCAAGACGACCGGAATTCTTGCAACTGAGGAACTTGTTGGACCAAAAAGAGCAGAGCTTCCAGCTCCAGTGCCGATACGCACCAAGGAATGTGTTTTTCTTGTAAAATCGGCTTCGCATTGGCTCCGCCGCGGGGTGGCAGGTCAGCAGGCTGGATCCGGGCTGTTCCAGTATCCAGCACCCAGCGATCCACTCCATCAGGAGTATCACGAGGAAGGTCCTCGGGTATCGATAGTACTGACATCTAGTGACCTTGTCAGTGAAGAATGTCCGGCAAAGTCACGGGACAGCCCTAGGGTCCGTGGTTTGGAGCAGCACGAAGGCTTCAGGGTACGAGCTGGCTATGGTGTCTAAACCCTAAACCCTAAACCCTAAACGTAGGGTTTTGGGTTCACTCCATGAGCCGTGAGTCCCCCCTGAAGCTCGGAGCTTCCAAGCGCTGCCACTTACCAGCTCCCAAACCGGCATTCGCTAAAGCACCGAACCCTCTCAACCCTAAACCCTAAACCCCAAACCCCCAAACCCTAAACCCTAAACCCCAAATCCCAAACCCCAAACACAGAAGACCGCACTCCTCAAGCCCCCCGATGGACCCTCGGCCCCAAAACCGGAAGCCTGCACCCCCGAACCTCCTGTACTAAATGAGCCCTACTAGCCAACCCTTAAAAAGCCCCAAAACCCTAAACCCTGTTCCTGACCTGCAGGCCCCTAAGAACCCAAAATCTCCTGAAGCCAAGCAAAGTGTGGGGTGGGAGCCCGAAATATCCTTCATGCAAGTACTCTACCCCTGAATTGTGATGCTTCCTACTAGCATGTTGCAGAAGGTATATTAGGGTCTTCCTTCAATTTTTTAAGCAGCTAGAGGGCGATGAGCCCTCCGAAACCCCCAAACCCTACAAAACCTCAAGAAAAGAAAGTTTTCGGGTTTACGGAGCCGAAAATCTAAGTCTCCAGGACTCCAAAATTCCAGGGTTTATGTAGGGCTTAGGGTTTACCAGGTTTTACCCCAAACCCTAGACCCTAAACCCTAAACCCTAAACCCTAAACCCTAAACCCTAGACACCCCCAAACCCTCCATTCCCCGCCTCCTCCACCGGTGCATCGTCCGCGGGCTCCTCCTCGTCTTCTCCAGGCGGCTTCTGGGCCACAGGCAGAAGGCGGCAAGGGCTTAGGGGGTTTGGGGTTTGGGGTTTAGGGTTTAGGGTTTAGGGTTTAGGGTTTAGGGTTTAGGGTTTAGGGTTTAGGGTTTAGGGTTTAGGGTTTAGGGTTTAGGGTTTAGGGTTTAGGGTTTAGGGTTTATGGTTTAGGGGGGTTTGGGGCTTAGGGGCTTCGGGATTCGGGCTAGGGGGGTTTGGGGCTTAGGGGGTTTGGGGCTTAGGGGGTTTGGGGCTTAGGGGGCTTGGGGTTTAGGGTCTAGGGTGTAGAGTCTAGGGGGTTTTGGGCCTTAAGCTCAAGCACTCGAGGTTCTAGGGTTCAGGGTGTTAGGCTCGGGGTTCGGGATGCAGGGTTCTCGGGCTTACGGACTCAGAATCGGTGTTGAGGTTGATCAGATCCACGAAGGCATGATACCCCATGCAGTGTTCCGCGCGATGCTTCCAGCATTTGCCGCGCGCTGACCTCCCGAAAGACGAAGTGGTGGAAACCATTTGCATTTCAGCTGCACATCAGGATCACCTGCAAATCGCGCTCGGCATTGCTGGCGCGCACTGCACTCCAGAGCAGCCTATACCAGACATGCGTGCTCGTGCTCGCGTACGGTGTCACGTAGTCGAACCCAAAGATCTCCTCTGGTCGGCTGGGCGGGAACCCCCAGTGGCATGCAAGGCGGAAGGTTTTGGGGGCTTGTGGAATATACATATAATATATATATATATATGTATATATGTATGCGGCCATCTGTCCTCAGAGCTGGAAGCAAGCGTTTGTGTGAAAATGTTCGTTCCATGCGGTTGCAAAAGCTAAGAACTTTCAAAGTTTAGGGTCTTGAAAGGGACAGGGTTGATGGAGACTACAGGCACTTTTTGGGTCTTTCGTCTATTTGCACGCTACTTAAGCTTTGGGCTCATGGGGTTTAGCTTTTAAAGGGCTTGTAGGCCTTTCAGGGTGTGGAGGGTTCTTTAGGGTCGATAACTTTATTCTTGGTTATAGGGTTTTAGACTTTCGGGATTTCCAGAGCTTGTACGGCTTAGAGAAGCCCCCACCTTAAACCCTAAACCCTAAACCCTAAGCCCTAAACCCTAAACCCCCCCCCCCTCTCAAGTCGGGACCTCTTCCGGGGGGACCCAGCCCTCGGGGAAGTTGACGTTGCCATCCTCGCACACTTTTAGGGTTTCGGGGGGGGGGGGGGGGGGGGTTATGGTGTTATAGGGTTAGGGTATGCAGGGATTCGGGATTTGGAGTTAGTTTAGGTTTAGGGTTTAGGGTTAGGGTTTAGGGTTTAGGGTTTAGGGTTTAGGGTTTAGGGTTTAGGGTTAGGGTTTAGGGTTTAGGGTTTAGGGTTTAGGGTTTAGGGTTTAGGGTTTAGGGTTTAGGGTTTAGGGTTTAGGGTTTAGGGTTTAGGGTTTAGGGTTTAGGGTTTAGGGTTTAATAGGGGGCATAGCGCTTGAGGTCTTGAGGAGCTCAGGCAAAGATGGGTTTGGGTGAGGCACGTAAACCGGTGACCCACAGTTCAAAAACGTTTGGCCACATAGCTTTTCCGATGTTCAAGACGTCACGACCGAGAAACTGAGTGCTGCCTGACCCTAACCCTCACCCTGGGTCGGTTTAGGGTTTAGGGTAAGTTGTTCCTGGGTTGTTTACCCAAAATGAATCACCTCACAGACACAGACCCCGGTGCAAGTAGTCTCGATTGACTCCGATACGCCGCATCTGTCACACACTGCGGACACTTCCCGGGTCTTCCGGGGGCCGAAGTTCTGTGAGTCCTTCTCAGCGGCACCCCGACGGTGATACGCGAACTGCCATCCCCCGAGCAACTGAAGCACCCTAAACCCTAAGCCCCAAGCCCTAAACCCTAAACCCTAAACCCAGCCCCTGCACCGTATGCAACCGCGAGTTGTCATTCAGCAGCGTGGTCACTTGCAGTTCGCCGACAGGGCACGACGAAACTTGCCCAGCTTCCTAGTGGAACTGAAGGTTTGGTAACGGGGTTGCCGAATATAGGGGCCTTCATGACTAGAATAGGGTTTTGGGGGGGTCATTATAGCAAATTATACATTGCCCCTAAACGTGGTAGCCCAGCAACCATCTTATGATAAGGGCACAACAAGAAAAAAGGGGAAAGGGTACCACTGGGCTACCAAGGTACTCGAGTGCTGACTTGCGAAGTAAACTGACTGCCAGGATGGGTCATTCGGACTCCTAATCCCCATAAAATGTCGCCGCTTAAGGGCGTCTTGGGTTAGGGCTTGGGGCTTTAGGGTAGAAAGGCCTACTCTAAACCCTAAACCCTAAACCCCGAACCCTGAACCCTAAACCCTAAACCCTAAACCCTAAACCCTAAACCCAGCCTATCCAGGTACACATCGACTGACCCTGACATCGCTCACGGTGCCAGCCGTTCACTCTAGGTCTGGCCAGGTCACTGGCTTGTCTTTGACCTGCAGGTTTGGGTTTAGGTTTAGGGTTTAGGGTTTAGGGTTTAGGGTTTATAGTTTAGGGTTTAGGGTTTAGGGTTTAGGGTTTAGAGTTTAGGGTTTAGGGTTTAGGGGTTAGGGTGCTGGTTTAGGGTTTAGGGTCTAGGGTATGGGCTAGGTCTCACTGGATGTAAGGTGTACTTAGCTGTGGCTGGTGTTCATTAGCAAGGGAACGAGCATTACAACGCGCATAAAGAGTCCCTCTTGGGCAGTTCGAAATGATGGCACCTTTTTTGGCACCCGGAATTACCCGTGATGAGACTTGATACCCTGCATGGGGTCAAAACAAGGAAGCTCCAAAACCTTTTTGCTGGCTTCCGGAAACAGCCCTAACCCTAAACCCTAAACTACAGGGCTTTAGAGGATTGAAGGAATTGGGGTTTTACGGGGTTTAGGGTTGGGGGTTTCGGGTGTAGGGGTGTAGGGGTTTAGGGTTGTAGTGGTTTAGGGGTGTAGGGAACCCTGCACCACCAAACCCACCTCTTGCAATCCCATGTAGGAACTAAGAACCAGATAGGGCCAAGTTTGGGGTTGAGAATGGAGCCTAACCACGAAAAGGGAAGGCCAAAAAGGGTGACCCTAAACCCCCAACACCGTAAACCCCTACAAGCCTCAACCCGAACCCTGCTTTTGGGGATCTGACGGGGGGAGGGGGCTGATTTGGGCGTATTCCAGGTGTTCAAGGGGGTAGGTACCTAGGGAAGCTTAGGGAGGCTTAGGGAAGCTTAGGGAAGCTTAGGGAGCCTTAGGGAGTAGTGGGGAGTAGTGGGGAGTATTAGGGAACCTTGGGTTACATACCGCCCTTGAACCCCTTAAGAACCCCAAAAGTGTTCCTCCGGCGCCTGCACTGCATTCTGCTTCTTCTTCAGTTCCTGGCCTCGACAGGGATTGGGTTTTCGGGTTTCGGGTTTCGGGTTTAGGGTTTAGGGTTTAGAGTTTAGGGTTTAGGGTTTAGGGTTTAGGGTTGAGGGTTTAAGGCAAACAGTCCGAAACTTTGGGGGTGGGCTGCAGATTTCAGAGCTTTAACGTCTGCATAGTGGGATGAAGAATCTCCCAGTGCCACCACCGCGTTCCATAGCACCGTAGCAAAAGGAAAGTCCCAAACCCTCAACCCCTAAACGCTACCTAAACCTCGAAACCCTAAACCCCTAAACCCTGAACACGTCAACCCTGCACCCGAAACAACAGCTGCGAGAAACTTAGTCGGCAAATTCTACCGTGGCCTTGAGGGTAAAGGCGGGTCTCGGACACCTGGAGAGGGGGGTGGGGGTATACTTGGAGGTTCGTGGGTAAACCCTAAACCCTAAACCCTAAACCCTAAACCCTAAACCCTAAACCCTAAACCCTAAACCAAGTGCAAGGGCCCAAGGCCCCAGCGCGAGGAGCCCAGCCAATCGGGGCTTCCTGATGGCACCTGCCAAGCTCCCTTCCCTAGACCCTAAGCCAGGGTTTGCGGTTTAGGGTTTAGGGTTCAGGGTTTAGGGTTTAGGGTTTAGGCTTAGGGTTTAGGGTTTAGGGTTTACGGATAAGGGTTCAGGGTAGGTTGCAGGGTTTAGGGTTCTCAACTTGCGCTTGAGGTTCTGGGCAGGTTTCAGGGTAGTCCGGAGCCCTTGCAAGTTTCGAAAGGAGGTACAACTTCTCCAGCCAACCGAAGAACCGTTTGACCAATATCGGTTCAGGGTTTAGGGCTTAGGGTTTAGGGTTTACGGTTTAGGGTTTAGGGTTGAGGGTTTCTACTTCATCGCAGGGCGTAACCTTCCGAACCTCCAGAAGTAGAAGCCCTCAGTCCCCTGGTTCGGAGCATCCCTAAGCCCAAACCCTCAACCCTAAACCCTAAACCCTAAACCCTAAACCCTAAACCCCAAACCCCAAACCCCAAACCCTAAGCCATGCAGGGGAAAAGCCTGGGGCAAGAGGTCGGCATTCAGCGCGGCTTGCTGCTTCTGCTGCTGTCGCTGCTGCTCTCGCACTCGCATCTGCGCCTGCAGCCACGCCACGGCAGGGCATGGGGCAAAGCAGCGAGCTGAAGTTCCTTATGAGCCTTTTATGATGGTTATAGGCAAGATTTAGGGTTTAGGGTTTAGGGTTTAGGGCTTAGGGCTTAGGGTTTAGGATTTCTAAGCCCAAACGCAACTGAGACCGTGAAAAGGTACCCTAAACCCTAAACCCCAAACCCGAAATCCTAAACCCCAAACCCGAAACCCTAAACCCTAATCTGTCTTTCGCATGGCCCCTTAGTATGGGCCCTTAGAAGGGGACCCCCATTATGCCCCTTACATCCCCTATCCAACCCACGGGTTCATACATCGGAGCCCTGTAAAGAAGGTAAGGGAACCGGATTATTTAAGGGCCCATAAAACCCTAAACCCTA